GTGTTTTTATAAATCAAGGAATGTGACAACTATATATATATATATATACAGTATATATATATATATATATACACACACACACACACACACACACAGAGATACATCAGGGATGAATCCACTTCCTTGTCTCAGTGTTAATTACTTTTTTTCTCTTTTGCTTTCTTGAATTATTGATGCCATTGTAAACTATTTTTCAAGTTATCAAATTCCGTCCACCTGCCATTTGTGGCGGCTGCTTTAATTTAAAAACATTAAACAGCACTTTGACTCATTTTCACTACATGCTGCTCTTTCTAGAAACACTTTATGTCCAAAAATGAAGAAAACTTGAAGGGCAAGAAGTCCGTGTGCATTAATATATATTGCTCAGCTGTCCTTACAATCAGAAAAATTGATGAGTTCAGTCTTTGTATTCTCGCCTGTGTGCGCAGATTGCCGCAAACTGCTGAAAGGCTCGAAGGACGATCAGCGAGACCGATATTAAGCACGTCAGTCAGTCTGTGCTGATGGCTACATTTCATGCATTTATGATAGCTTGTAAATCATTTGTAGCTGTGACATCTTCGAAACAATGACCCCGTGCTGACTCCAAACCCACAGATGTAATATTTCTTGCAGATATTCCATTCCTCCAGTAGAGAGTTGTTTTTTCTTTTAAAATAATTGTGGTTCTCGAATGCTGATTGTCTTTCTGGGACTAATTCAGGGACTAAAATTGGTTCCTATTTGGGTGGTTGGATCGTGATATATGGGCAGTTGTGGTAAATCATCACAAATGTTGACGTGTGTGTGTGTGTGTGTGTGTGTGTGTGTGTGTGTGTGTGTGTGTGTGTGTGTGTGTGTGTGCATGCATATCTGGCAATGAGGCCAGATAATGAGTTTCCACTATATTTACATTTTTCGAGCCATGGGGGCAATTTTCCAGCTTTGAAAGCCCACAGCTGAATGAATCATCAGGGAGGCAGTAATATAGATCTAAGTAGATTTAAGTGACGGGCTATTACTGGGTTTGTGTTGGAATTGCTGTAATTTGTTTCCATGTAACAGATCACTCAAATGAAAATGCATTTTCCTCAATAAGCACAAGAGCTTCTTGTACCGAGTACAGAAAATGTAATACAGAAGTTGAGAAATAACTTCAGGGTAATTGAGCTGCGTTGGTCCAATCTAAGATACAGATTATAATGTCAACAGTCTGGTGCATTCTTCCTTTCCTTATTATGCATTTAGTATCTAGAATAATGGGGAAAAAAGCCAATTAAATGGGCGGAGGATGAATAAAGATGTCGCCAACTTGTTTTTTTGCAACCAGAAACGATTGAAGAGGGTGGAGCTAAAAAAACAACTGAACAATGAACAAGACATTTTTAGGCAGTTAACTTTCATGAACTGAAGACGAAAAAAAAAAGACAACTCCCAGATCGCACAATGCCGTGGTAGCAGCCTGTCAATCACAGCAAGCCCTTCCCTAAAGCATTCCTTGCTTTATGGTCTGCTTGACTCTAAATGGACCATAATTTACAACATGAACATCATGCTGTATTGAAGAAGACTTGAAACTAGAGATTAAGACCATAAACTCATGTTCACAATGTTTCTAAATTGCCTTAAGCTCCTCTGGCGAGTTGTTGTCCCCATTCAAGTTAGCCTAAGGCGAAACAAAGAAAGCCTTTTATATTTATCAAGTAGGTGCACAGACGCAGGTAACACAGGACAACAGGGTTTCTGCTTTTTCAATTAAAACCAACCACCTGCTGCTTTCTTCACTATTCATTCTGTATTGTTGCTCCAAAAGGAAATTACCAGCACCACTACTGAGAATAGGAAGTTGACATGAATGTCAAATCTCCCACTTACAAAGGACTGCGAGCCTGAGTTTTACAATCCACGTTTCTATTACAGGACCCCCGACAAATCCTGCACTGAAAAGATGGACGAGTCTGCTGCACCACAGCTGAATCCGCCCTGCAGCTGTACTGCTGCTGAGAGTCAGACAGGGAACGCTGGACATCCAGGTCACCGCTTGCAAAAGTGACACATCTGTAGTCTGTGCAGGAAACGCCTCCTGAACAAAGCAAAGTTCAAACACGGTGTGAGGTGAACCTGCATGAGGATACCGACATGACTGCAGGCCGAATCAGAAATATCCACTCATTGTAGAAAGCCTTTAAATATGCAACAAAAATCAATATGGAAATCAATTTTCCACAACTCTGAATCTACATTTTTAATGGCACTCAGCCAAGGTAAATCACACACACACACACACACAAAGCTGCAGAGCAGGAACACTAATGAGCTCTTACACGCGGAGTCAAAGTGCAGCAACTTCCATTCATTATCAGCACAGAGGCGCTAAATAATTAACATGACGATGTTTGAATGCAAGGCGTTATTTATTTATCCCCGATTTCATTTTTCTCTTTTCCATCAATAGCCTGAACGCATGCAGTCGTAGAACGATGAACTCAGAGTGAGAATAGTGAAGTAAGCGTCTCTCACTTTCAGTTATCAAGCAAATGTTAAGCTGACTTTAGAAATGACGCAGAAACAAAAAGAAAAGCGAACAAGGAGACTTTCAATCAACTGTTTGGAGAGAATAAACTTTGCTACAGTGTATTTTGGTCAGAAGTTAGCGCGATAGGCTCTATGGTTGGAATCTACCAATAAACAGAGTAGAAGAAGAAGAAGAAGAAGAAGAAGAGGTTGCAAACTGGAAACAAAACAAGTCGCTCATCCACGAGAGAAAAACCAGACGTCTTCAGGAATTTGTTATATTTGGGAAAGTTTTAAATGTTCTTTCATATTAACTCTTTTTCGTCAAAGGCAAAACCCTTTCTAATGCTTTTCCAATCCGATACTTGACATGAAAATACGTGAATGGAAACACTGAAGCTCATGTGACAGTTGTCACTGTCGTCACTCAGCTCCAGTGTCTGCTCGTACTGCGCTGCCGTCGAGTGTCGGATCGTCGCTGCTGTCTTTGCAGCTTCCAGAACTCTTTTCATGCGCCTCCAATGGGTCGACACACTTTTTCGAAACACGGCTCAGCCAAAGCTCTGCCCATGTTCAACCTGAGAAACAACCACCTGTGAGAGTGTGCAAGGCCTATACTATACTATATAATAATGATATAATATAAAAAGTGTGGGTGGTGTGTGGGACTAACGCTAAGAAACTAAAAGTATCTGTGTTGTGCCAAATAACCGGGTTCGGTCATGCATTGGCTACAAAACAAAATAAAAACGACTTCCAAACATCTCTGATCAGCAGCAGGCCGACTGATCCACGCACAGTCATGAACAAATGGAGCGGGATCATGAATCCCCGACGCATGCTGTTTGAGCATAATGGAGACGAAACACCTTCACAGAACGGTGTAGCCGGCGGCGGTGGCGGCCTGCAGCTTCACTGATCTTATCCTGCAGACTATTTCCCTCCACTGAGCCTCGCGGTCCTGCCTGTAGCTGCGTCTCACTGCTCACCACGGAGTGCACTGTTCACATTAGACCCGTAAAACACGGTACTACGGTGACGCGTGAGGCGGAGCGGTGTGCCGCCACTGTGGGATTGCCTGTTCATTCACATGCCTTTATACAAAGCATTTCTTCTTTACAAGCCTTCCCTCTCACAATGCTGCTCATACAAACCTTCACTTCTCCTCTAACAAGACTGTTAAAAATGTCATTTATTCATGGCAAATGGTAAACTTCCTTGTTCATTCATCAAGTCCAGCCTGCAGCTTTGAACGCACGTTATTTGTGTGGAGGAGGCGGATTCCCCGTCAGGCAGTCTTGATGAATTCAGTCACACATTTCACGGTCGTTTTCTGTTTTTTTTTTTCCTTTTTTTGTTCCTGTATTTTCCAACTTATGAAGATTTCCATCATTTTAACTAAGAAGCACATTTTCCTGATTGCAACAGTTGTTTGTATTTAAGCTCCGATAGATGTCACACTTGAGTCTACTGCGAACCAGCGCTGTATTAATAAACTAGCCATATTTAATTCTCATCCTGCCAACTGGGGTCCCTGCAGACCCCAAAGAGAAGAGATACTTGTTGTCATATCTCACAGTTGCTTTATTCTATCATTCCAATCTTTCACAAATGTGTCAATCAATGTTCCTCATGACTTCATATCATTTAGTGCTTTTTAAATGATCCATTATATACACCATTGTATTGGGGTAAGGGGGGTGCCAGTCAAAAGCACCCGATTGCAATCGATGCTATTTAAAAAGATCAAAAGAAGAATAGATTCAAAGTACCACACACTATCAAGTCAGCCAGTCAGTTTGAAGAAGACACACACCGATCTCCTCATGTGCTGTCCTTTTCCCTTTTATACGATACACAAATCATCCGTAACTTTTCTAAACAATCTGGTTCTTGTCTTTAGATGACAATAATTACATAACTAAAGTATAAATTAACATTTTGCTACGATGGCTGTGTCTCACAGTAGTTTATTCTTTGTCGTCCCGGTATGTTAAACATGATGGTAGGATGAGCAATAAGAAAGTCTATTTTTCCATACTTTACCATGGCACTTAAATGCACCCTGTTCTACTCAACTGACACTGTTAACAGCAGTAGTACCTGTATGATTTAAAGCATTCCTTTAAATAGGAATATTCCTGGCTATCCTTTCTTCTTCTTATTCATCTTGATCAATGATTGCTCTTTGATTTGGTTAAATAATCTGTTGGCACTCCGATTCTCAGTTCTGGTCCACCAAACACCAAAACAAATCTTGAAACAGTGAGAAACAATTCAGAAGCAAGGCATGTCATGGAAAAATTGTCAGCATGCCATGAGGTTCAGATCTGGAGCAACAGTCAGTGTGCAGATAGTACACACATCAGGGATGCAGAACAGGACGTGACAGAGTACCAAACCCCGACCTGTCAGCTCCTCCTGGTCTGCTTCACGAGGACCGACAGTGAAACAGGCTGCTAAAGTGTGTGCGTGTGGCAATAAACACATTCGCACGCACTGACCGAGATTCACAACTGAGATCACCGTTCAGACAAAAAGCAGTCTCAACGGAAACACGAGCAGTTCCGTGGATGAAGATCAGCTGTCCGTGCAACACCTGCCCATCACCATCCTCATCCTCACTGCGTTCTGGCATGCTGCATGCGCAACATTCAAGTTTAAGAGGAATGTAAATCCCATTTGGCTCTCTTTTTTTTTTTAGAAAAGGAAAAAAATCTAACTGCAAGAATGAGATAAAAGAGATCAAACAGAAGAATGAGATACACCAAAATCAAAATAAATCGTGTGAGATCAGAGAAGACATATTTGCGATATTTCTTCAAATTAAAAGAGAAAAATGCGAGAAAATATCTCAAAAAAAATAAATAAAAGAGGTGAAAATAAACACAAAAAAAGCCAGAACACGGGCTTCCTTCCAGCAACAAGCAGCGGGTAAAAGCTCCGGTAAAGACTGGCAGCACAACACAGAGAAATCCAAGCAGCTGCTGAAATTCAGTGCGAAAAATAAAAGAAAAAAAAACAAGAGGAGAACCAAAACAGCAACAAAGAAAGAACGAGGGAAAGAAAAGAGGAAGGGAGAACTGACCTACCGACGCAGGAGGCAAAAACGCTCAAAGAGGCTGAAGCGAGAGGAGAAGAAGACGGGCAGGCGGCTGAGGCTCGGTGTGCGCTCGGTAACCGGGCTGGAGCTCCGACTGCGCGCCGGCAGGTGGTGAGGTGGTGAACAGCAGCTGAGCGCCGACTGGAGCGAACCACTGAGTGCTGGCAGGCAGGGGGAGACCGGGCGGCAGAGCTGCCGCGGGGAGCCCCGTGCATAATTTGGCACCGGGCTAAAAAAGCGCACGGAGAGAGCCAGAAATGCTCTTAACACGCAATCAAGCCGTGGGCGCGGGGCGTGAGTAGAGAATGTGGTATTTGAATGTAAGTGTGTGTGTGTGTGTGTGTGTGTGTGTGTGTCTGTGTGTGTGTAGGTAGGTGTTGGTAGGTGTTTGTGCTGCCTGCACTCAGTGATGCGAGAGAATAGATTATATTGTGCACGAGTATTGTTGTGATCTATAACCCTGCAACATAAACAAAAAAGAGTAGTTTGATATGAACTCCATTAAGTTGTATCGTTACACATACATATTGTACCCTTATACAGTTCAGTGGATCACCATCAGGTGCAGAAGACACACTTGGCATTTCTCGACAAACAGTGTCGACTCACCTGCGTCTGTTTGGCGGGGCTCCTCCATTCAAACAGTGGCGCTGTCTAATCAGCTGTGACTACGATGCTAGTACCCACCAATTTCAACCAATGACATCATGACATCCATCCATCCATCAATCTGCAACTTTTAGCGACAAGGATCGCTACATGATAAGCCCCGCCCACTTGTAGCGGTCCAATCAAATGCACGGAATTTGATTAAATCCCTCTTGTTACTGTACCCCGCTCAAATATTCCCTTTTCACCCGGCAACATGTCACAGCACAGAAACTGAAGACACTCTACATGTACCTTCTGTTTCACTGGGACTTTAAAGCAGTTGAATCTGAATATCTGAAGGAGTGGGAGAGAGTTCTGTCAGCCTGCCACTCTGTACAGTGTGCCAACGGCAAGTCTTTAATGGGAATTCTCAGCGAAGTCGGTGTTGGTCCTCAGAGGATCTTTCATGCTGCCTGCTCAGAATTGAGAGTTGTCACATTGGATTTTAGTGGGTGCCAGTGTAGAGGAGGGTAGGGACGTTCTTTTGATGGGCTGGAGAGTGAGGCTGAGGAGAGTGAGGCTGAGGAGAGTGAGGCTGAGGAGAGTGAGGATGAGGAGAGTGAGGCTGAGGAGAGTGAGGCTGAGGCAACCAAGGAGTCAGACAAGAAGAAGGATATCCAGGTAGCGTTACCGTAAACCCACAACAAATGAAAGGTAACTTTCTTACAAGTTCTACAAATGTCCTAAGACCATACAAGATAATAAGTGATATTTTTAAGTAAAAAATTAAATCCTACTCCCGGACACAGCAGTGGCCACGCCTTTGTGTATCATTGGTTAAAAGTAGTGCTGGGCAACGATTAAAATATTTATTCGCGATTAATTGCATGGCTTTTTTGCGATTAATCGCGATTAATCGCATTGTTATGGCAAAGTTCAATAATGAATTCAAAAGTAGTGTATTGCGCACTTTTATTGTAAAAGTACTGCTATATGAACAAAAGTGCAATAACATTTGGTTCACGAGATGCAGGCAGCATGTTTCATACTTAATGTGAATATAATTCATACTTTGTTGGCATCTTATTCTGATGTTTGTCTGAAGAAACCGGATGTTGTCTCATGTTAATCTTTCCGCGAACTTTCAAAGTCCTTCGCTCGCTCCCGTTCTGTGCCGTTTAAATACGTTTACCGTGAATTTCAGCATATAGGTGCACTAACATGTAAGTGTCTGCTGAGTTGACCACAGCGATGTCCAGTAGTCTCCAGGGAGAGCAACAGCTGGTGCTTCTCTCTTTATTTCTGCCCCCCCCCCCCCTCGACCAGAAGCGGAAGTCGCATTTTCTCTACGGCAACCCTGAAGGGACATATCATCTCCAATACAAAACGATAAACATGAGACAGTCTGTTACAATAATAATAAATTAAAAATACTTACCTGTTTTTTTTTGTTGTTGTTTCTTAATTATTATTATTATTATTTTTTTCCCATCAAAAAAGGCTCAAGGACATACGTACACACACACATTCACACACTAACACACGCTAACACACACACACACACACACACACGAAATTAACGCGTTAACTTGCCCAGCACTAATTAAAAGTAAACTCTGTTAAAAGGTGATAGGTCAACCAGGTGCAGGTATTTAAGGCTAATAATGCCCAGCAGCAGGAACTTAACATGCATTAATTAAGAGCAACAAATTGTTTTAAAACTAAGTATAAAACATTTAAAACACATTATATAAGCCAAAGAAAACAAAACAAATGAAAAAACAAACAAATAAAAGTGATACTGAGTCTATTGCAAAGAGTGCTTCAGTGCTTGTAAAAAAGAAAGAAGATATGGAGTGGCAGAAAGAGAAGGCTCTACTTAACATGGAAGAGTTTATGAGCTCTCAGCGTGCACAGTAAGCGTCCTCATTGCTTGCAGGCTTACCTCACACAGTAGTCTCTGCAGAGACTTTGTGAACTTAGAGCATCTAGTTGTTTGTTTTCTTGACATCGGTGGACTTTGAAACTCTCGACATTCCCTGAAAGCCAACGGGCAAATTGTACACACACACTCTCACACACAGTTACAGTATCTATGAAAACAGTTCAAAAGAGACAGACAGGAGAGGTATGTGACGAGAGGAAGAGCAAGGTTGTTTATTTTGTTGTGCTGCTTGTTTCTCGGCTTTCTCTTCCAAGGGCAGAAAGAGGAGCTGAGAAAACGAGGCTGAGTGAGGAAGAAGCAAACAAAGAGAGAGAGAGATACAGACTCTCCGGTTCGACAGACAGAAGCACAGAAGAAACAAATCCCCCGTGGTTTTCAGGTTCATGTAGAGAATAAAAGATGTAATTGGACTGTGTGAACATGATGGTAATATCCTGCTTCATAAAACATTAAAATATATGTTTATCATTCTGCATGAGGTTAATGAGGAGTTTCTTTTTCTTTTTTCAAAGGCCAGCCTGCAGGTCTCCTAAAGATTACTACCTCATACAACGAAAACTGCATCGTCAATTACATGGGAAACAATTTTCACCCAGATTACGTTTGATTTTATTGTATCACAAATCGGTTTGTAATGATATTCAGCAGAAGTCCGCATAGAGAGGAGGTCGGGGCTGGGTCGAACCACAGGACTCTAACCCATGTTGTGTCCTGTGTGAAACTGAAAGTCTCATTTTAATTTGGTAGTCTGCAACTTAAATATAACAAACCACAATGGTTTACTAAACTTATAGGTCGCCATCTGGCTATTTCCATTGCCTCTCAACGGCTCTCAACATGGCGAAGGCTAAGCTGGCGGCTTGCAGCTAACAGCGCTGACAGCGCTAACAATGGAAAAAGTGCTGACAGAGCGAACAGTGTTTACCTAAGGGGAAACCAGAAGGTGGGTGCTCGGCTTCTATGACCGACGGCGTTATCAGCTTTACCCGCCGTATGAGAGCGACGCAGAGCGGCGGCCATGAGCTAACCAGTGCGGCACGCTAACGTGCACTAAAACTGTGCCTGACCGGTCCGAATATGTCAATGCAGTTTAGTTGTACGGGTACGCAAGTTGTTGGAGACAGGCTTGCACAGGCACTAAAAAGACAGAGAGGGTGTTCTTTTGGTCTTCTGAAGTCTCTCAGAATTTCTAACTATATATTTCTTCCCTTCATGCCCGTATGAAACTATTTTCCTTACCTCAGTGCCGCAGTGAACCAGCGGGAGCGAGTGCAGAGGAGGGCTATTTGATTTCATTCAGTGAGAAGTCTGATGATAAAGAAGCACAAAAGAAAAAGAGAGCAGCTTGTCTGAAGCTTTTCTCCTTTTTGGGGTGAGAGAAATGACTGGAGGAGTGACAGAGAGAGTTTCTCACTAAAGCCGCTTACATTAAAAAGGTGATTGAACCTGAAGTATTGTGGAGGCAGAGAAAACGAAGAGACAGATCTGAATGTTCCTAAATAAAGCGTATAGCACTTAAAAACTCTGATGAAGTGTCACCCTGATGACCCCTGATTATAAAGAACTTTCACACAGACAGAGGAGGAGCTCTTTCACTGAGCTGCAATTTAATTAAAATGTGAACCGATTTCATGACATGAAATTGTTCACTACAGCGCCACGTTCTTTGTAGATCTAGCCTCTTAATTTTGCTCTCAAAGTGCACCAGATTGATGCATTTCACTTGAAGCTACTCTGGAACTGCATTAATATGAGAAGTTCCTCCAAGCTCAGAAAATTGGCCTTGTTTTCTGAAAAAAAGGACAACTGCTCAAAAAGATGTAATGACTAAGTTGTTCTGTTGCCTGAACTTAACTTTCTGTGAAGACGGAAGTTTATTTTGAAAAGACATTAGAATGAGAGCAAACTGACACGCTGTCCCCGACACATCCATCTAGCTCGAGGGTAAACTGGAGCTTCATAGTGACCAAGCGTCGATATTTGATGATTTAGCAATGAAAATGTGTTGTTACAGATGTTCTGGATCCTCTCCATATTTAATAATAACTTAGAGCAATTATTTTTTCCAACTGGAACCTGCCACTTTTTTGAAAAACAACCTCTTTAAAATAACATTAACTGATGGATGGAAAACACAGCTATGGGCTCCGTTATTCTCAAGTAAAAAATATTGTGTTTTTTTTTTTGTTTTCGCCAGCAGCTGCTAACGCCTGTCTGTCAAACCACATCTGTCGCTGACGCAGAAATCCAACTGTCTGGATACGTGAGGAAATAAATGTAATTTAAAGTTTTGTTAAAACACAGATAAGACAGAGGGAAGACGCCTCCCTGAATCCTCTCGACTGTTTTAAATGACACTTTGCTGCATGGAGCAGCAGACGGGGCAGGTGCGTGTTGTAGTCCTGTGAGACGTTTATCAGACTACTGTACATCTCACTGTCCAATGTAGCAGCTGTGGGTGTCAGTTCAGTTTGTGATTTCTGCAAATTTTGGGGGGGAAATGTTCCCATGTAATTTGTACGGCGGCCACGAGAG